AGAAACCCTCATCAATCGCCTGTCTGTCTCCGAAGAACAACGCGTACGTCAACTGATCAGCGAAGAAGAGCTCGGTGATCGAAAACCCTCCCAGTTTCTTCGTCATCTTCGCTCATTGGCTGGTACTACAATCGTCCAGGACAACCTTTTACGGCAACTCTGGATGCAACGACTTCCTTCGCATGTTCGTGCTATACTCGCAAGCCAACCTGAACTTGCACTGGATAAGCTTGCGGACCTTGCGGATAAAATTTCTGAGGTATCGCCAACTCCACCAAATTTTTCCGTGAACGCGATGTCTGCCGCTAGAAATGCTGAGGACCCATTGCTTCGAGCAATCTCAGAGCTCAAAGATACGGTCGTTAAACTTTGTTCTTCACGTTCTCGATCATTTTCTCGAGAAAACTCTTCACGCGATTCTCAGCGGAGAGATAAGTCGTCTTCCCGCGATTCAAATCAAAAGCCATCAAAAACATTATGTTGGTATCATGCCAAATTTGCCGATAAAGCAAAGAAATGCATTTCCCCATGCAATTTTCCGGAAAACTCGTAAAGCAGTCCGTGAGTGCGGCAACTGACTGCACACCTTCTCGCAGCCGCCTCTTTATGATTGATAAATCCACGAAAGTTGCATTCCTCATTGACACTGGCTCAGATTTGTGTTGTTTTCCACGCCGTTTACTGTCATCTCGGCCCACACCGGTAAATTATTATTTATGCGCTGCAAATGGCAGTCGCATAAACACTTACGGTTTTTTACCTTTAAATTTGAATCTTGGTCTTCGAAGCTCACTTTTATGGCGTTTCATAGTAGCCGACGTAGACGTACCAATTATAGGATCGGATTTCTTGGCTCACTATCACCTCTTACCTGATTGCCGAACCAAAGCCATTATCGATGCTGTTACCGGTTTTCGTGCACCGGGAATTTCGAAAATTTCNCAAAGTCGCGAGAAACTTCCACCCATCCAATTAAATCAACTTTCTTTCATTTCCGAGTTCTCTACTGACATTCGTTATGTTAAAGGCGAAGAGAACGTAGTTGCGGATTCTCTGTCTCGTGTTGAAGCCATCGTACAACCTCTTGATTTCGAGCTTTTGTCGCAAGCTCAAGAAGATGACGAGGAATTACGTCAACTTCGAAAAAGCTCTTCTCTTCAACTTGAACACACTCTCGTTCCTGGCACTACAGTTAAAATTTTCTGCGACTCCTCTACTGGCAAAATGCGACCGTATATTACTACGGCATTTCGTCGTCGTATTTTTGATCAGCTGCACAATCTGAATCACCCTGGCGTCAAAGCATCGATTCAGTTAGTAAAGGATCGTTTTGTTTGGCCTTCGATGGAAAAAGATTGTCGCGCTTGGGCTCGCACTTGCTTAGATTGCCAAAGATCTAAAGTGTCTCGTCACGTGCACTCACCTTTAGGTACATTTCAAACACCAACAAATCGATTTTCTCATATCAACATCGACATAATCGGCCCATTTCCACCGTCGCAGTCCTTTCGTTACTGTTTGACGGTGGTCGATCGTTTCACTCGTTGGCCTGAAGTGTGTCCGATGAAAGACAGTGCGAAAGAAACTGTCATTCAAGCTCTTTTGGCTTGTTGGATTTCTCGTTTTGGTTTTCCTCAAGTTATTACATCAGACCGTGGTGCTCAATTCACATCACATTATTTTCGTGATTTCGTGAAGTTTTTCGGTGTTAAACATAATTTTACAAATAGTTGGCATCCTAGTTCAAATGGATTAGTCGAGCGCTTTCACCGTCAGCTGAAGGCGGCGATTATGAGCCACTCGTGTTCGAATTGGGCTTTATCTTTGCCCCTCATTTTGTTAGGCATTCGTTCTTCTTTTAAAGAAGATTTGAAAACAACATCGGCAGAACTTGTTTATGGAGAAACGCTTCGTTTGCCTGGAGAATTTTTTCGTTACGATCCGTTAAATTCTCAACAATGCGATCCTCATTGTATCTTGTCTAATTTACGGAACATCATGACTCACTTAAAACCAGTCCCTACTTCAGCGCATGGTACACCTGCACTTTTTGTACACAAAGATTTGAAGGACTGTACTCATGTATTTTTGAGAGAAGGTGGCTTTCTTAAATCACTACAACCACCATACACGGGACCGCACGAAGTTATTAAGAGAGACGAAAAGACATTCACGCTTAAAATTCGAGGCAAATCGCAAGCTGTTTCCATCGACAGAGTCAAACCCGCTTACGTTTTTAGCAGCACCAGTGCAATTTCGGTACAAGTTGGTGAGCATCAGAGCAAGCATGTGCACTTCGAAGATGATGCTTACGACACTGCCCCAGGGGGTGGTGTAGCGAACGTTCGACGTTCGCAACCACGTTCAGTGCGCAGCGCTGATGAAGAAGAGAAAGCAAATGAAAAGCTCAGTTAATCAACAGCTTTGTTCTAAGCAACAACTAATTAACCTACAATAAAGATATATAGAAATATTATATCTCCTCTCTCTTTATTTCTATAGAAATGTAGAAGGATTAGATCAACAAAATATCAACTCAGCTAATACCGAACTAGGCCGGGCGCTAGGTATGGTTTTGTATGCAATGTCATACACTTCGATCGCAAATCTACAAGTCGTACTGCATCGTGGAGAACATAAAAATGAGAATGCTGTATTTAAATCCACGCTTTAACTTGTACCATTATTTTTACTATGTCACTTGCAGATTTATAGATAGAGATACTCGCCATCTAGCGGTGGAAGTATAAAGTGGTATTATCGTATTTAGAGTGGTTAAAAATTGATTTAATTTTTTTTCTGATACAATTAAATCGTTGTTTTCAGGCGTTTGAAATGCGCTTAATATTTCTAACATAATTAAAAAAAAAAATTGCAAAACACAAGTCAATCAATTAACATTTATTTTAATAAATTTTAAATGGTTATTTCACGGTTATTAGGTCACTATTTATGTTCAGCATTTCTACCATGGTTGGTGTGAAATTTTAATCGATCGGCCGCGCCCCATGCGAAGAGCGATGCTGAGAATCCATGCGCGATGCCAAACTCGATGGGAGCAACGAAATTCGTCTCAAAAACCGCATGCGTACCCCCACGTTTCGAGAATACAATTACAAGCCAAGATAAAGCTCAGAGCTATGTGTGCGGCTTCGAATTGCTACGCCAGGCGGACGTAAATGTACGCAACCTGTAATTTCTGATAGGCTCGACTTTGAATTTTAAAATGAATAAAATTATTCTCTCAACTACTCATTGGATCCGAATCGTCGTGTAAACTTATTTGAAATGATACAATAGAAATAGATTATGTAATTTAGAATATTACAGAGAATATAATTACGTTTTAAAAATTACATTTTATCTTCAATATATACTTCAGAATTGGAAATTGATAAGCTACTTAGCTAAAATTACTTTTAGTCTTTTTATAATCTTTGCCAAGCGATCGTAAGAGAGTTTTTGACCGATTTTCATTATAATTGTCTCAAGATGTCAAAAAAAATAGATGAAAGAATATGAATAGAAAATATTGAAAGAGTTAAGTTGCAGCTTTTCTTTTATTGACAAATTTAATAGAATTTTTTAAATTTTAACTTTTGGATTCGTTATAAATACAATAATATATAGTAACTTGGAGTATTGTGATGAAGTTGGCCAAAAACTCTCATGAAAATAGCGTGCCAATGTTTCCTAGTTCAGTAGTATAGTATAAAATGAGTATTTTACTAACACAATTCAGCAATAATCCATCTTTATATTAAATTGCGTATCATTCTGTCGTTGGCTACTGTCTGTCTGTGCAACTGCCTAATCTTCGAAGGCGGATATGTGTGTATATTGTATTATACAGTACACATAACGTAAAAAATTCACATTATTGAGCCAAATACAGCCAATACATTTATTAGCCGCATTATAAAGCGTTCCTATATAGTAACTAGAAGCTTCTTTGCCACTTGCGAGTTTTTGTCACGCCACCTACATGATTACAAAAACAAAATATTTACTTGTTTTGAAAATTTAAATTGATAATCGAATATCATATTAGCAGATCACAAATTGAATTCTTACTATAGTAATAAAAAATTGTAGATTACGAATTAAATGAAAGTCATAAGTCTTTTATTAACACGATTCGTTAATGAAAATTTATTTAACCTAAATCAACAATTTCCATCTGTGCATTAAATTAACTTTAACACTTATACAATTTTTGAACAGGCCTTAACAATTGTGGATACCTTTAATTCAACGTACACTTCATAATCCTTTAACTTTTGACAAATTCAAAGCTCTGTCGCGGACTCGAAATAGTTTCGATGGAATGTAATTAGTTCGACGAATTTGCCATTTACGCCTATGTATTCGCGATTTACGGCGTTGGATCGGAGCAAATGCGAAATTCGACTCGCAAATAATTTTCCAACCGAATGTTTATACAAAGTCAATTGTCATCGCGCCGAACGCTCGTTGCTCGAAGCAAAAATATTTATCGGACGCGTAATAATACCCGGGCGTATAATTTTCCTGCACAATCGATTCGCGCGTGGCGCAGCCATGTTTACTTTAGGGGGAAAAAAAAACTTTTCCTTCGAGCGTTTTTTTTCTCCTCGCGCGATTTCAATTGCAACCGAAAACTATTGTTATTACACTAAAATTGCTCGAGTAATTATCAATTCGCGCACACCGTGTGTGTATTATTAAAGTCCGTACGTGTGCGTGTGTGGGTGTAAATTTGTACGAGTTAATGTTAACTCACTTTGTGATAACAAGTTTCCGCGTACTTTGAAAATGTAACTTCGTCGTGTACTCTTCGAGTTAAATTAGCAGCGCGCGGCAAAGATGTGATTTTTCCGGAAAACTTAATCTCGAAGTACAGGATTAAAAGACAAGTTGAAGAATAAATATTTTCCGAAAATTTTATCGCGCGACGCTTATATTACCCGATAAGAAACAGTTTCGAGCTCGAAACCGAGAAGTCAGTCGTTGTCGTCGTCGTCGTTGCGAGTGTATAGAAGTTGCTCGAGAAACCTCTCGAAATGCAAAAATTCATCGCTATAACCCGTAAGTTTCTCCGAAACAAAAAAGTTACTTGAACCGATCCATGCTGCAATAGTTCCACTAATAAATTTTGTAATCGTTCGTTCGTTTGCAAGTTATCCTGTGTATGCTGAGCATCGTGGCGCATCACGTCTCGGCGCAATCTTGTTGTCCCTGGCGACAGAGCATCTACACGCCGGTTTGCGGCAGCGACGGTAAAACTTACAACAGCGCTCTGGCAGTCACTTGTTACAACAGATGCAACAACAAGAGTCAGTATAAAATTCGGAATATTTCAAAACTACACCTTTTGCTGAACTATTGAAAAATAACCGTGTGATTCGTGTTACAGGTATCCAAGTTGTACACAGTGGCAAGTGCTAATCTTCCAGAAATGTAATTGAAAAATTCAATCGTTGATGAAATACACAAACCTAATCAAAATTAAAAATTCACTTCTTTTGCTAATTCACCCTTTGAACCCAACTATGCATTCCCAGCAATTATAGTCCGACACGCACGCGCGCCTCGATCGATACGCATCAAACGCGCGGCGACGTGAAAATTTCTCTCGGCGAGCAGATATCTCGCGCAGCTTGTAACTGCTTTAAGTGTAGGTTGTAGTTTGGTTGCAGCTCCGAAATTGTTTGCGCGATCGCATGTGCGAGTGAAAGTACACACAAAGCCCAAGTGCAAAGCAGCGTTTGACATGGCCGCAACGCACACAAACACCCACGCACGACACAGTATACACTACTAGACCGTCCCAATAAAAGTTGAAAATTGTTAATCGAGGGCATGCGACAGGGCGTCAAATGAGATTTTACCGGCTTCTTTTTCAAAACTATATTATTATATATATCACCGCGTAATGCACCGCGAAAGTGTGAAAAATCATTTGAAAAGAATGAAAAAAAAAACCATTTGAAATCGTAAGTTTGAATGAATATTTCTTCCTTCTTTCTTTCCTTTTCGATTTTCAAGAAAGAAAGAGAGAGAGCCAGAGTTGAAAGTTCGGAGCGCGCGTAAGGGGGGGATCAAGCATCGTGAGCAAACGAATTGAAAGCAAAGAGTCGATCAGCGCAGAGACCGAAGAAGCCAGCAGAGTTAGAGAGGAAAAAAGGAAGGAAGGCACGAGAGAGAGAAAAAAAGAACTATGGAAAACAGACGGATCGTTGCCGAGGGAGAGATTACTCGTCGTTTCCAAGTCTACTTATGTATATACACACTTTTTTTTGTACGCCATCTCTCCCGAATCTTTGTCTTCCTTTACTCTGTCGCGTATACACGAGAATAAAGTCTCTTTCGGTATCGCGTTTTAATCCCTTGAAAATTAGATTTTGCGGATACATAACTCAATGCCTTACACACATATACCGTCGTCTCTCTTTCTCTCTCTTTCTCTAATCGACCCACGAATCGCAGTGGTATTAATTTATATATCGCGATTTTACAGGAAAACGTCGTCGATTTTTACGATACGCCATTAAATAAAATTTACGTACGTATATAGGTGGGAGGGCATATAAACTCGGTGGCGAGCGGACGCGGGTATATAAAACACAAAGACTCGAAACTTTGCGTCGATTCAGCAGAGTCGCTTTACACGCTCACATTTACACGGCATATACGTATATATACAGAGCAAGAGAGAGGGCAGATGCAACAAATCGCGCTATTTTATGTGATGCATCAGCAGAACTCGAAAGAGGGTAGTCCTGGCCCTGTCTTATAGCTTACCCGTGCGCGCGCCGCGGCGTGTATAATACAACGTGCTTGCGAACGAACCACCAGCGGCGCACACCTACATTACGCTTTTCCCTTGTTTTTTGCGCGTGAGCATAAAACAGGAGCGACCGGACCAATTTCACTCTCGACTCGTGTGTGCGCGCTGCCTGTGTTCCTCCTTTCCCTCTTTTTTTTTGTAACCAAGTTGCGATTCGTGCGCGTTTTTTGTGTCTACCTTGCACCGCTGCCTCTGCCGCCACCGCCGCCGCCGCGTGCCAGCACACGATGAACTGCCTGCTGCGGGTTTTAGGCTAAAAGTTAAAACGGGATAATAATAGGCATGGCCCGATCGTATTTAGAAAGGAGCAGAGAGGTAGAAAAAAAGCAGAGCCCAATCGAAGCGTAATTACGCCTGCGATGCTTATTTATTGGACATTACCCTTTCGTTATTTCTCTCTCTCTCTCTCTCTCTCTCTCTCTCTCTCCTCTTTCTGTTTAGTTGCTCGTTTCGCGAAGTTAATATATCTCGCACGGACGCGATCTTTATTTTCAAATTAAAACTCGCGCCGATCGTATTTACTCCCCGCTGTTGCTGCAGCTGCCTAATTTAAATACACAATCGACCATTACGCGAGCTCTTTTATACACCCCTCCGAATCTCTAACGTAGCTTTTTCTCACTCGAGTAGTATATAGTATATAATAATATACGTATTAACGCGCCCAATAGCCGTGCCAGTGAAATTATCCAAAGATTTAATTATCGCAGTAATTGTGGCGGACTATATAATTATATAAACGCGACGAGTCAAAAGACGCGGCTCTGGGGGAGATGGAGATAGAGGGAGAGAAATCCTTTGACCTCTTTGGGCAATTAGTACGAATTAAAAGCATGCACATCGTGCATTTGCAGGTAGGCAGCTGTGTGTGCGTAAAGAAAATACCTTAGGACCGTTTCTGTATCAAAGGAAGAGTGCCCGCGAGTCGAGAACCCTTTCTCTCTATATCTCTCTGTATACGTGCCACACACACACACACACACACGTTCGTCCGTCCGACAAGTCGACGTCTGGCTTATTCATTTATAATGCGAGTGTAAATCCGCCAGTCGTAATCGCTCACCTCAGTGCGAGATCAGGAGCTCGCGTGTATGATATACCTACGCGTGTGTGTACATTATACGGCGTATAAAGGGAGGCTGTACTCGGCTATCTTTTGTATCAGTCGGGACAATTGAAGCGCGTCGCGTATCGTGTACGCCCGCACGGGTGAGTAAATTAATTTCGTCGTCGTCGTTCACGAGCATCGGGAGAATTTTTCGACTTGCCCAATGGACCAAGGCACACACAAAATCGTCAATTAATCACATCGGCAGAGACACACTAGACTACACTAAGTACGTACGTACGTATCGTACGAATTGTACGACGACTCGACGCGCGGCCGTTTCTATATCTCTGTTAAACTTGCGGTCGAACACGCACTTTTGGCGCGGTAGTCCGGGCGTACAACATCCTCTCCTGCTAGCAATGCTCGCAGGTTTAAGGTACCCGCAGTAGTAGTAGTAGTAGTAGTACGAGTAGCGGTATAGCGCGACACGCCTCAAGGGAGGCGATGCTGATGTGTCTGGCTATTGCCTCCGCTACTGCAGAGCTTATATTGTTCCTTTGGCGCATCGGAGAGTTTATTGCCGATCCGAGCGGCTACACACAACGACGAGAAAGAGAGAGAGAGAGAGAGAGAGAGAGAGAGAGAGAGAGACGACAAGCAGTAGCAGAGCCAGTATAGTATAGACTCTTCCCTCTCGGGCGCGTCTAGGCCTCGCCAGTCTAAGGGATTGTTGGCGACGGCGTCGTCGTAGTCGTCGCGAACCGACCAGAGCCTTTGTTGCGTACGATTTTGCCTCTCTGAATTGCTCGAGGGTGGCCGTTCGCTTTCGGCTCTTATACGCATTACATTGCAGATTGCTTCGGTCTCTCTCTCTCTCTCCCTCTTTCTTCAATTGTGCTGTCTATGGAGGTTGTGCGAGGGTTTGATGCGTGCTATTTTGTGTCAGAGACGAGTGTTACAGACACTAGGCGATGATACAATTTTATTTTATTTCTTTCTCCGCTGCAATTTCTGCAGTCGTCTGTCTCGTTTTATCCGGGCGTAATTGCATCGCACTTTGAATTCACACCTGTGCGCGCGTTACGGATTGCCGTCTAATTAGGAATTATAATAAGCTCGACGTAATTAAGCTCATTGCAACGCGCGGGCCCCGTAACGCAGACGCATATATAATATATAATAACATAATAAAATCAGCGTTGTACAGAGAAAAAAAGCGAATGCAGCCGCGCGTGGAGCTGCTGCTGCTGCGTGGAACAGCTTTTGCTATATATTAGACGACGTTAATGAGAATATAATATCCTTCATCTTTCGTAAATTGCGGCAGCTCTGCAGCTTGTATCCGTGCGCGCTCGAGTGTATGTATGTGCAGGGGTAAAATGTACAAATTCTTCTTTTATTATTTTTTTCATTCAACTCATGAAATTTTGGATGGATACACTGTGTCATTGAATAAGAAACTAAACTTTAAGTATTTAAGTTCTTCAAAATTTGCTTTGACTTATATAATTATTATCATTTTGTCATTTGTAGATTTTCAGAACTGAGTTATTTGCCATCTAGTGGTGGAGACTTGAAATAGAATTATTGAATCTGTAGTGAAAAAAATTGTCTAATATTTTGTAACATTTTAGTTGTCATTTTCAGGTCATTGATAATGCGCTTGATATTTTTAATTTAATTGTACGAGCAAAATCACCAAAAATAATCCAAATAATGTTGAAGTACTTTAGAACTTTTTAAATGGTCATTTGTTGGCCATCAGTCGATTAATAATGTTAAAGCGATATCTTCAATTCAACGTCCATGATAAGCATAATAGCTTTACTTAAATTTAGATATTATTATTTGAATTTAAGATAAAATTCACATAAACGCGTATCAACATCAAAAGAAGTGCGAACTCGTGATCGTTTCTAAACCTGAACGCGAGACACCTTTGTAATGGGTGATTTGTGAAACAAAATATTTTCACCTTTTATTCACACAACAAGACTATTCTCAATAATCATTTTAATGAAGTATGTGATCTCCGTGAAACTTTTCATGTAAACACAATTTACAACTGTAAAAATTTGTTTAAAACAAGACTTTGAAAAATAAATCACTTGCGCAGAAATCAAGTCTTATAAAAATATGTAAATAAATTCAATTATAATTTTTGTATCGACACCGCGCATTGCTGCAGGACTGTCATTACGAGAAAAAGTCTGCAGCTTTTGCATCGCTATTTTTGTCATTATTCTTTTGCTTTTATCATTAATTTCTACTCCCTTTCTTTTTGTCATATAACGTTAAGTCGCATTTTTGTCTCCCGCGAGGTTTCCCGCGTGCTTTTTTGAGCCTCGCGCTCACCGGGCTCTCTTTGAATTTAAGAAGCGGAAAGAGATAGGAGCAAGCTGCTTTTATCATCGTTTTTTTGCCCACTGTTCTTCGCATTGTACCAGGAAGCTGAATGTGACAGTTCATACACTGCGCGCACGGGTTACTTGAAATAATTGAGAATAATGAGAAAAGTTTCGCGAATAACTTTTAAAACATCGCGCGCGCACGTCTTGTTTACTTTTTATATTTTCTTGCAAAACAATGATGATC